AACATAGGGACATCAATGAAGTATTACCATTCCCGTGAATAAGAAATGGTTCAACAAAACGTTTACGTTGAATTTATTTGTTGGCATGTGCTTTGTTCGATGTGGACATGGTTCATGTTATGTACATACTTGTTGGCGACAACATCCATTGGGTTCATATGCAAAGAGGGTTGGAAAACTACTCCAAAACTTGAAATAAACATATACTCTTTGACCCGTTGAGACAGTTTCTTGTGTTTTACCCTTAGTTATACATTTTTATTAGTTCAGCATCTTGTAAATTCCACGAGGTCGGAAATGACTTCAGCGATTTGTAATACAACAATATAATGAAATAAATGCACACGCTGCTTCGTCACATTGCTGTCAGTGAAAGGAATACATTGTATTTGCATAAACACAATAAGCTCTATTTAGTGCATTGTCGTGCATATCATGCAACAACGTTGTATTCTTGGAACTTCTATGTTTATACAATTATTCCAACCAAACCCCTATAGAGTAGGGATTATAGGTAATGACTAGAGAGACGAGAGTCATGGTTTAAACTTTAGCACTTGGCCAAGCTCAAAGGTCAGAAATAAATGATGTATTCATATTTCAATAATTAGGAACTCTTATTAACATCCGAATTTCAAAACCATGGCAAAGTTCTGAAATTATTAATGTATTGTTTTAAAGCGAGGAGTTGTCACCTGCGCATGCGTCAGATAGCCATTGCGTGTCATTGTTTACAAACAAGCGTCTACCCATGAGCCTTTGCATTTTTAGCGTGTGTTGTTATCGTCCATTGGGACTCGCGCGTGCACAGGTGACGGACGACCCTCCCGCTTTACATTTCAATGGCAGTTGAATCCAACCAGACAAAGATATGATACAGATTTTTTTTTCTTTTTACCCACATAACTAATGTGTTGAGGGTGAAAGTCAAAGTATGGTTGTACATATGGATGAATATTATGAGACGAGATCGTTCATACTGAAATTCTAACTGTTTACTGCAGTCATGTTCTGAATGATGTTGAAGATGGTGCCAATTGACATTGATTTTGCTGGCAATGTTTTACTGTGAAAACAGTTTTCAATCAGATTCCAGCAAGTAAAATAATACTTAAATAAAATCATTTCGTGATCACAAGCAAACAATTCAATCAAAAATCAAAGACAGCTTAGAAAGAACTCCTGTATGCTGAGAGTATTGGACACGCATTAAACATTTATTCCAAATTACTTGTACTTGAGATATTGATGGAAAAGCTGAAAACTAATTATGCAATTCAGGTAATTAATATGAACAGGTTTGAGTTTAAATCTAATAAGGTCTGCGCAAAGTAACAAAAAATCTATGTACCAAGTTTCATTGAAATGTGAACCAACAAATTATGAATTACCGGTATGATAATTAGGAAGTTAAATTAAACAGATTTTAACCCAAAACTAACCAGGTTTGTCCTAAAACATACATGTACCAAGTTTCATTGAAATGTGATGATTAGTACCCGAGATAACAGTGTGAAAGTTGAAAATAGATTACTGTGCAAATTGAGTGATTAGTATGCATACATATTAATAAAAAACTAAGTGGCTCTCTGCATAGTCCTCAAGGATGTATGTACCAAGTTTCATTGAAATGTGATTTGTACTTGAGGTAACAGTGGAGAGGCTGAAAATTAACTAATCATGCAAAATAGGTTATGGATTTCTGCATAGTCCTAGAGTATCTATGTACAAAGTTTCATTGAAATGCTACGATTACTACTTGAAATATCAAAATCTGAAAATTAATTATACAAACTAGGTAATTATTATGTCCTGATATTAACCTAAAGTCTGTGCAGTGGCTTATGACATTTATGTATCAAGTTTCATTTAAATGTGATGATTAGTACTTGACATATCTGTGGAAAGCCAAAAATGTACTAATTATTATGCAAAATAGGTAATTAATATGCACAGATTTTCACCCAAAACTACTCAAATTTGGGCATTAGTTCAGAGTATCTACGTACTAAGTTTCATCAAAACCCAATGAGTGGCTCTTTAGATATCAGTGAACAGCCATGGAACTAAAAAATTAGCTTATTATCATACAAATTAGGTAATTAATATTCATGGTTTCTACCAAAACCTAATCAAATGTGCATATTGATACAAAGCATCTATGCATCAAATTTCATCAAAAATCGATGTATGGTTCTTGAGATATCGGAGGAACAGTCAGACCCTTACATGTTAATTAGTACAGTAATATTAAAATGGCTTTTTGTCATTGTTTTATGGCTATAAAGTCTACAATAGTGATAATTTATGCAGGCTTCCACTTGCATTTTTAATTCACATCTACTATCCTGAAAAATTAATTGGTGAATTCCAGTGATGTTCGAAGTATACATGTTTATCCTGGAACAAATGACAAACAATTGTTACATATAATTTTTTATAATACTTATAAGTATCATAATAGGTATCACAATGACGCTTTAATTTTTTTTTGAATTTGAATAATCCTGAGTAACATCCTAGTTTACACTGAATGGAATATATTCATTGTTACAACAAATGATGCAAGTTTTCTTCTCGGACAACAGCTTTTGCAACACAATTTCAACGTTATATTGCACATTTTGTTAAAAAAAATGATGCATTTGAAATTACCAAAAATTAAATCGTGCAGCTGTCTGTTTAATGACATACAAATGGATATATTACTTCTAACTCAATGACACTCATCTTGTCTATTTTGTGCGATAGAATAAAGTATTTCATGTCACCACATATACATCTTTGAGATGAGCTGTAGAAATAATACAGAGCTTTTCAGAGAGAAAATATAAGAAGATTATAAATAATTTCTGTATGAACTGTAATGGGTTATTTCAATGAAATTATTCAGCACTTATCAACCCTGTGGCTGTACAATCTGAATTCTTCTATTTGTTTGTGAATTCTCTTCTCAACAATGAACCCAGTATGCGTAATAAACAATCGTTTCTGTTCTTCCACATTTGAACACTCATCTTGTATGTTGAGTGTGACAGTGAACTGATTTTCACCATTTATGGATTTCCATCTATATGTATATTTCTTCTCTGTGTGAATAATTAATGAGTTTCTTTCATGAGATAATTGACTGTATATAGACTCACACTGACGACAGTAAAACTGCTCTACTGAATTACCATTATTTATGCAAAAACAATTTTCAGGTTTATTTTGACGTCTTCTCGTGCTTAAGCTATTATGCAAAGTAAATAAATTTGAGATTTCCTCTTGATAAGGTTTTACCATGTTATGTTTTAGCATATGATATTTGAGATTACTTGATGTGGTAAAATACTTTTCACATTGTTCACAATGATAAGACCTCTCATTGGTATGTGTTTGTATATGATATTTGAGACTACTTGAAGAGGTAAAACTCTTCTCACACTGCTCACAACGATAAGGCTTCACATTGGTATGTGTTCGTATATGACATTTGAGTTGACTTGATGTGGTATAACTCTTTTCACATTGTTCACAATGATAAGGCCTCTCATTGGTATGTGTTCGTATATGATATTTGAGTTGACTTGATGTGGTATAACTCTTTTCACATTGGTCACAATGATAAGGCCTCTCATTTGTATGTGTTCGTATATGATATTTGAGATGACTTGATGAGGTGAAACTCTTCTCACATTGATCACAATGATAAGGCATCTCATTGGTATGTGTTCGTATATGATATTTGAGATAACTTGATGAGGTATAACTCTTCTCACATTGTTCACAATGATAAGGCCTCTCATTGGTATGTGTTCGTATATGATATTTGAGACTACTTGAAGAGGTAAAACTCTTCTCACACTGCTCACAACGATAAGGCTTCACATTGGTATGTGTTCGTATATGACATTTGAGATGACTTGATGTGAAATAACTTTTTTCACATTGCTCACAACGATAAGGCTTATCATTGGTATGTGTTCGTACATGTTGTTTGAGACTACTTGATGCGGTATAACTCTTTTCACATTGTTCACAATGATAAGGTCTCTCATTGGTATGTATTCGTATATGACATTTGAGATGACTTGATTGGGTAAAATTCTTTTCACATTGTTCACAATGATAAGGCCTCTCATTGGTATGTGTTCGTATATGAAATTTGAGACTACTTGAAGAGGTAAAACTCTTCTCACACTGCTCACAATGATAAGGCTTCTCATCGGTATGTGTTCGCATATGCCGTTTGAGACGACTTGAACAGGTGAAGGTTTTCTTACATTTCTTGCAACGAAAAAGCTTGTCATTGGTGTGTGTTCGCATATTCTGTTTGAAAATACTTGGCTCAGTAACACTCTTCTTAGTTTTTTCACAAACCATCATCGTTTTTCTACTATTCAGCATATTTACTACTTGACAGTATAACACAGATAAACACTTTGTAATTTTATATTCTGAGCTCACTGTCTTGGTAATATCGCAACTGTGAACACAAAAAAAAACAAAAATACATTTATTAAAGCAAGATGAAGACTTGGTAGAATTGTTAGACGATTGTCCACTTTCTTACCTCATGTTCATGACAATCAAACATTGATATTTTGTTTATGTTGTTTGAACTTTGCTACCTCAGAAATTTCGCATATGGTCAGTACACTACACTGACTCCTGCATGTTAGCTATACTCTGTCCTTGTATTCATAAAATGATTGTGGCTTTTTGATTGGATGAACTATGTAAGCTACATGCTTGAAAAAACTAACTAACTGAAACAGAATAAATGAAATCACCTGAGATTTTGTCATGAATATTGAAAATAGCATCAACAAATGAAGAAATCTAAGAGAGGTCAAGTGTGACCGATGATGGTTGTAATTAAATAAATAAAAAAAAAAAAAAAATAGGTGACTTCAGTACGATGACTGTAGATGTTCTATTTATTGCATCAAGCAAAAACCCTATAATGAATATACAAATGAATCAAATGTTATAAATAAACAAAAATATTACATAATGAATAATAATGTTGCAATAAATCTACAGAAATAATTATATTATCATCAGTGATGTTACCCGCTGCAATAAATAGAACATCTACAGTCATCATACTGAAGCCACCTATTTTTTTTAATTTATTTATTTACCGAACAGCTTGGACTAGTGCTTTTAAAGAAATAGTCATTTATGTTGAAGGTTGGTAGATTACACAATGCAATCCCCTATATAAAAAACGCAGTTCTCTGTCATTTCTGATCACAGCAGACCTAAAATTACATAATTTTCCAAGAATTAAATGACATGTTTCGACCTCCAATAACAATCCAATAATACACTTGTGAAATTGTGTCTTAATATATATGCAATTTATTGTACATAACATAAATGTGAAGTTTGTAATTGTAATTGATCAATGCATTGCCGGAAACAGGACAAAAATTACATAGTTTAAAGATCATGTTTCTAATTGTAAAACAACGTTATTCAACTTAACATTGTTTCATGAATATTTAATACTTAAGATTAACCAAGTTTTAAGTGTGGTGAAATGTGTAGAGTGTTCCATTTTATTACAAGTTACTACAATTAGATATATCATGCAATTTGTGACATATTTTATGCTGCATATGTTGACTGTCATTTTTCTAAAATTTTGCAAAATATACAGAATGTCTGAGAGTAATGAATGTTTGGTATAAGTGAGAGTGTACTAATACTAATGTATATACATCAATCAAAGAAAGCTTAGAAAGATTTCCCATGTGCTGAAAGTATTGGAGGTATGAATTACAACTAATATATTGAAAACACATCTTCAATACACATAAAGCAAACAATGGGTTTATTGCATGCAAAATCATTGAAATATTTTGTCTTTGTCATTTATACTCACAGTTAACACATGTGCTTATAATAATAGAGCAAATACAGTATTTAAAAGTATAACTGCAAGCAATAATTAGGGTTGGTTACAAATAGCTATGGTTCAACAATTACAAATTTAAAAGAATAATGACCATATATGATGAGTTTATATTTTGGTCATATATTTTATCAGGCAACACAATTATAGCACTGGTTGCATGTTCCTATCTGAACAGTACTTAGTACATTACAGTTATGTATATTAAGAAACACACATGAAACTAATAACAGGTTATTATTATGCATGGCTTTCAACCCTGAAGTAATCAGATCTGTGGATTATTTAAAATCTTAACATTTAATTTATGCAAATTAGGTACTTAGTAAGTACAACATTTAACCCTAATCTGAACATGTATATGGCTTATCCCTAACCATCTACATGTGTACGTATCAAGTTTTATTGAAATCTGTTTAATGGAAAAAGTGAAAATGCTAAAAATTGCCTAATTAATATGCAAATTAGATAATTAGTAGTCACAAGATTTTCAACAAAACTAATCAGTACTGCGCACCATACCAGAGCATCTATGCACCAAACAAATTAAAATGCTTCAATTAAATTTGGGTAATTAATATGCAAATTAGGTAATTCATATGCACAAATTTCAACCAAAACCTAATCAGGTTTGCACATTATCCCAGAGCATCTATGTACCAATTTTCATTGAAATCTGTTTAATAGTACATGAGAAACAAATGAAAATGCTTAAAATACGTTGATTAATAAGCAAATTAGATAATTATTTAAAATATGTATAAAATTTCTACCAAAAACTAATAAGGTCTGAGCTTTGTGCCAGAGCATCTATGTACCAGGTTTCATTGAAATCTGTTTAATAGTACATGAGAAACAATTGAAAATATGTAATATCCTTTAAATAATATGCAGATTAGATAATTAATATGCACAGATTTCAATCAAAAAAACTAATAAGGTCTGAGCATTATCTCAGAGCATCTATGCACTAAATTTCAATAAAATCTGAATATTGGTTCTTGAGATATTAATGGAATAGAGACACACACAGACGTACGTACAGACTCCCATTGTGTGCTTCGTACACGGATGTTAAAAATATATTTAGAATACTTGTTTTTACTTTAATAATTGTTTAACATACAACCTGTGAGAAACATTAATGATTTCATTGAGGGGGCATGTTTGTTTAAATACTAGTAGTTAATCACTGAACTGAGTTGTTTAATCCAACTAATACACATACATTCCCCCCAAACATAAACAATTCAAAACACTAACATAAAACACTTTTCACTAAAAAAATACTTGCAAATGATAGAATAAAACACTACATCGCTCTGCAATGACCAAACTGAGGATAAGTACCCATCACTTATAGACTGAATT